TTTCTTAGCGAATGGCCTCTTGCGCCCAAAGACTGGCCCGCCGTCACGGAGTGCGTTCAGAGCATATTAAACCGGCCGCAAGTGACAAGACTGGGCCTCCGAAGCAAAAAAGTCCCAGGCGTTTATCGATCTCCATTGGAGGTCTACACTGGGCACAAACCAAAGCGCCCTCTTCTTCGCGCCCTTCCGATGGATAAGTACAAGATGGTGCAGAGCGATGATGAAGTCCGTTTTCGCCAGTCGGTGAACGTCGAGGCCACTCAGGGCGCGCTGCTTTCCATGCACGGGGATGTCAAGGTTCGCGCGGACGCTCCGCCAAGAGCGGCAAATTGAACTACATAACAAGCGCACGAACCTCAAGCCGGTGGATTTTTGTATCGGTGATTTTGTGTTGGTCAGGTGCGCTGCTGAGAGGGTTCAAAAGCTACAGTTCGCGGCGCTAGATCTTAGATCTAATCTAATGTCAGCAAAATTGATGCTAACTAATTAACTAAATAAAATAATTGAAAATTAAAACTGTGCAATTATTCACACGTGTGTCCACTACCCCGGACTATTTGTCATATCCAATTCTTTCTTTCCACCCCCCTGTAGAGCCCCATATCCGTGGGGCACAGATTCCCCAGAATAAATAGAGGTACAGAGAACTTCCCAACAATAAAGGCAGAGCTCAGGCCGTGAAAAGAATCCGCCTGAGTGTCATCGCCAAGCACTGTTTTCTTCTGTTTAATGCGGTAGTGACCGCAGCAGAGCGAGCAGGACAACGAGCGAGAAAGGAACGCAACGTGCTACAGACTACAAAGCCAACCCCGTCGCAGTCACCAAAGACAATCGCCGCCTATGGCGGGAACTGGCCGTGTACGACGCATTCAGTACAAGCACTCGTGCCTTTACTTCAAGTATCGGCCAAGGAAAGCTTCAAATCGCAAAGCAACGCACCCATTCGAGGGGAGGACGGTTTGGGCAAGCCGGTCTCTCCGTAAAGCGATAGGCTGAGCGCCTCATCCCCATCGCCACCAAGTAATCCAGCGATCTATACGTACGCAGGTAACCACCGCAGGAACTGAGAACACCACCATGGGCTCGCTGGGCACTGCAAAGGGCTCAGAATCACCGCCACGGCCGCGTTACGACGTTCAGGACCTAGACCGATGCGGGTGGACATTCAAGAACGTGGCTTTCCGTGAGCGGGGCGAGGGAGTAAGGACATTTATAACCACGCCGTCATCTTCACTTTGGTTTTGGATGCGGCCTCGGCCATGCGTGGATGAAGTGCAAGTGAAGCTTGGGCGGTGCGAGGCGGCGGGCACGGCACGGCCGCAAACACTTCTGCAGTGCGATGGGAATTCCCCATGGATGAATACGACGATACCGACCAGATGAAGGCGTGAAATGTGTTTGGCGAAGGCGGAATCGGCGAAGTGCTAGTGCCTCCCTGACCGGGGCCTGTCCGCACAGAATCCTCAGCTTGAGACGACATTTTTACTTGAAAGCGTCAAGAGAGCGGTGATTGCGATCATGCACAGGCCTTACGAGCACATGCTTGCCGACATTCTCACCAGGCCGCTTCGACCACGAAGGTTCGTAATCCTGACCGAAGCCATCCGCGCCCGACCAAAGCCTAATGCAGATCCCGCCGCACCGGAGAAGTGGTATTCTGCGCACCGCGCTTCGTCGCAGTTCTGCGGCCATCATGGTAATCTGCTCGCATGGAACCAACGAAGAGAATTGATATGATAAATCGGGCTCGCTATTATCGAATGGGAATCTGAAATTCAAGGTTGATATCGCATATATGGCCTAGCTGCCGTGGTTTACACTGTAGTGAACATCGGTCAGTTTTACAGATGCCGATTTTAGCCGCAGTGTAACTGTATGGAACCTTATTCGGAGTTTTCCGTTACATTCTTCCTCAAAACGTATTTTATTGATAAAATATCAATAAATACATCGATTGCCTAAAACAAAGCACTGAACGAATCGCCAGAGACGTTTTTATTGACAACTATCATCACAGAGGTTGTTAACGCGCAACTGGGGTACACAGGTGTGGTGCAATGCGCCTGGTAGGCGGTAGGCAAGGTCGAAGACCCACACGGCCCAAAAACAAACAAACAAACAAAACAACCAAAGCAGCCGGCGGCGCAATGCCACAGAGTGTTCGGGAACCTCTTTAACGAGAGCTTCCTCCAGCCACGTCTGCATGCGCGGCCAGAGGGTATTTAATGACCACTGGGAGCAGTGTTCGGTACCCGCTCGAACAGCGAGGGCCGGGACGGCCGCAGGGGCCGTCCCCTCCGTATTGGCTGGGTTCTGCCCTGTATCGGGTGTCACCCGTAGCAGTGACTCCGGGTTTTCGACACGGGGGCGCACGGACCCGGGTGGTCCGCTGCGCGTACTCGCCCGGGCTGAGCCGGAGCGAGTACTGCCCCGTCCTGAACCGGAGTCTTCCGCAGGGGTCCCTGTCGGATTCATCTTGACTTCTTGCTTGAACCGGGGGTTGATACGTGTTTTCAATTTGTCCACGTACCGAATCGGATGTCTTCTTTCTTGAGCTCGACGGTGAGGGTCTAGAAACCCCAGGAGAGCCCTCCACGAGAGTACCAAAAATGTGGTACAACCGTAGGGACGCTAAACCGTAAACGGAAAAGGACAGGCTGTACCTAAAATGAGGGAGCCTGGGGGACCGCTACACTGGAGCGTCAGGTAGAATAATCCGAATCGGTAGGAAGCACTGATGTGAGGGAGGTACACTACGCAGAACACGAGCAGTCGTACTGGGGTGTAGAGCAGTACGACCGGTGGCGAGCTGGAAACCTGAAGGTCTTAGTTAACAGTACGGAGAAAGGACTAGGGTAGGAAGTAAGGGGAGGCGTGCTTGCCTCGGTTTACCTCCAGCCTGGTGCCCCCTTCTCTTATACCCCCTAGTAGGGCAGTGGCACCAGACGGACTACAGCAGCTGTAAATACTGTAGCCAGCTTACTGTAGCTTACGGTAACTAAAAATGACTACTGTACCAACCCACCGATCGGTCGCGCACCACGTGTACACCTGCACTATCTGGTGCCACTAACTACACGTGGACTCCAACGTGGCCACATCTACACATGCTGGCCACGTATGCACCGTATCGGTTAACATCTTACTACTGTACTGGGCGAGGCCCCTGGCGCCCGCCTAGTTCAATAGCGCGACTTGGCAATTGTACCACAAACAGCAGATCGCGCATCAAGAGTTGCGAACACAGAACCTTCTCTGACATCCAGCGATGTCCCCGTCGGCGCTCCGGCAGTATCTGATGAAGCACCAGATGCTCCGACGTCTACCAAGAGGCGAAACATTCAATTGGTGCTGACCAAACACCAAAGGGCGCAGATTGCGCGCTGGATGGTTTCAGAGTAACAAGATGGTCGTGTAGTGCACATATGCGCACGTGCAGTTCTGGAATTGCCCGACTATTTTCGTGCCTCCCCGAACGCCAATATTGCAAAAGCTACGCGGTATTTCCAGTCTCGAACAATTACATTAGAAGGACTCGGAGGGTGCCGTGGTGACGGGAACATCTCGTTCTCGCGAGTGATGAAGGGCGGAACGCATAGTTACAACCGGAAAGCATCCCACGGGCGAGGAAGAAAACGACGGTCATGGGTAGTTGCTCTGTACAAGGACCTTAGTTCTGAGTTCGATAGGATGCGCAAGGCTGGGTTGAAATTCAACAGATCTTTATTGACGCGATTGGCTGTCAATCTGATAATGAACTCTGTGAATGATACGTACAATGCCAGTATAATTGACTCCAGAACAATGTTACCTATCATCAATTCCATATCTCCCCGATGGATTTAATCGTTCACGGAAGCCAATGGGATTGTTCACCGTTCACAGACGGGTAAGCTCATGGTTTCTCCCAAAAAGCAGGAGCAAATTCATCGTGCTGTCGCCTTCCATTTGGGGACCGTTTTCAGAGAGATCTGGGCTGGTCTCTTCAATAAGGACAATATATACAATGCCGACGAGACCCACTTCGTGATAAACATGGATGATCATAAGACAATGGCTCGAAAAGGGGACAGTGATGTTAAATACGCTGACGTAGTCTCGGGAGATGATGGAATGACGATGATGTGCTACTGTCAGGCTGACGTGATGCAGGCCTGGAACCACCGTTTATGACATTTTAAAATCGGAATCGTCCCTATCCTATTGACGGCATCCGGGACAACGTTCCAGGAGTATCTCATCGCAGTCGTCGTAAAGGTTGGATGGACAGGATCGTCGTGCTCCAATACATGAAAGAACCAAGAGCGATTAGGAAGTTGACGAATGGGAGAAGACGCATACTTTACATGGATAATTGCTCTGGGCATGCACTGACAGATGAGCTTAGAAAATGTGTCGATAGTTTGAACACGGAGATACGTTTTTTTCCGCCTAACGCTACTGACTTGTTGCAACGCGCTGACTCTTTATTACTCAGAAAATTAAGACAGCATGGAGAAAACGTTGTGATGATTACAAGCTTTAAATGATAGAAAACAACATGTATGAAGTTGAGAGAGGCCCAAGGTCTTCTGGGCGATTGAAGAATCCTGGAAAATATTTCATTTTAAAGTTGGCAGCAAACGCTGTCAAAGATGTCGCTTCGCAAAGGGATAGGGATGGTGTCTCTTATGCTCGTAAGGCAATGATGCGGTGCGGTTTGGCGCAGAACTTGAACGGCCTTTGGGAAGAAAGACAGTTGACACCGCAACTACAGGAGATTGTCAAAAAGTACCGTGAAAACTTTGATGGTGTTACAGTGCAAGAGTCGATGGATGTCGTAGACCTGGTCCAATAACGCACTGATGATTAGAGGCAGGCATGTGAGGTTTTGGTAGGACGAAAATAAATGCTGTAGGCTGTAATGAGATCTAACTTACAGTATTCAGTGTTACTTTTGGCAATGTCAGTGACAGTAGTACCGTTTTTCACTGAAATAGTGCAAGTACGGAAATAGTATCACTGACATTAATATACTGTATGTTTAGGGTTTGAGATTTCCACCACGGAAATGGTATCAATGACACTAAATACCGTCCCCGGGTGTACAGTTCGCGTGCGCCGTGTTGAAAGCCCCAGCAAATGCGCCGACTGGCTGGCACCGTGAAAAGTCCCATCCTACTTATTCCGGCTGCTAGTCACATCTCGCATGTCGCTCCTGCTCCGAGCTGGAGAACTCTCCTCTCCCCCTCATAGCCACACCTCTTTCCACGCGGAGAGCACACGGACTACGTGCGGGTCGATCTCCGCGATGGCCGACTCCTGGTCGGGGACGGGGAGCCAGTTCCACCCGACGGCTCTGCGTTCGGAGTTGTCCGCCGCGCCGCCGCCCACTTCAAGACTTTCGTCGAACACGGCCCGCCGGTCGAGCACGCCGAGGGGCCGGAAGCCAGCCTGGCCGGCCCACGTTTTGTACATGTCGCGGTAGTCGCGCGGCATCCCATTGGCACCGTACATCGTGCCTTGCTCGGGCGTGTGCCCTTGTGCGCGATACACTACGCTTGTGGGCTCGATATTGCACCAGCTCGTGTTGACCGACGAGTGACACGGGCGCATCGCGCGGAGTGACAGACGCTCGCCTTTCATCACGAAGGCAATGTAGTAGAGCTCCTGTTCGGCGCGCGAGAATGTCACCGCTTTGATGTTGCCGCCGATCGGGATCTGTACGACCAGCTCGTTGGAAGGCATCTCTGCCTCCAGGACGTACTGCAGCCTTCCGAGTTGTTGCCCCATAAGCTGCCCTAAAAGCATCCTGGGGGCGTGCATCGCGGGCACCAGCACCACTTCCTCGCCCTCGCACTCGGTAAAGTACCATGGCAGTGTGCCGCCGACCACTGGCCATAGGGAACGTTGCTGGCTCACGATGATGTCTGCAGATATCTCTATAGCGTCAACATCTGCCTCCTCGCGGAATGCGTCCATGACGAGCTTCTTGCCTGGTGAAAACGTCAAGTCACCGAAAAAGCCCGCGCCCTCCGTAGGGTAGAACCACACGGCATTAGCCCACTCGTCGGTCTGCGTCCCGTGCTTTGTGCTCCTCGAGAGCGTGAGCTGCACCACGATGCGGTCGATCATCTTCTCGTACGTCTCGTACCAGAAGCGTGGGTGCCGCCACGGCCCTACGCACGCGAGCAACCGTTCTGTGAGGGCCTCAGGCTTGTTGACCAGCTTTTCCAAGTGACGCGCCAGCTCCGTGCCGCCTGTACCGGCCTGCAGCCATAGAAAATGTGTGAGCGAGGCTACGGGGACGCGATCTTTCTCCTCGTAGCAGTCGGCCGTCCACATCGGGCCCACGATGTAGTCTTGGAGGAAACGGCCGGCAACGCCGCCGTTGCAATTCACAATCATGTTGAGCCAAGTCTGCACACGGTCGCGGACTACAATGACGCCTGTACATACGGCCGTCCAATCGACTACGTCCGGGACACGGTTCTTGTGTCCGCACGCCTTGCAGCGTACCCTCTTGCGGAAAAAGGAGAAGCCCATGTCCTGCTCGACTGTACTGTTGGGCGAGTTGAGCATGGTGATGGCACGGTTGAGCACGTCGAGAAGGAGCTTGCACGCGTCCACGGTGGGGCGCGTGGGGAGGATGCGGCCGTGCATCACTCCGACGGCCACCTCAGCTGACGGCCACAGGCGGGAGGACGCGGTCCAGCGCAGGGTGGAGTGCTCCTCGCCCGTCTCCATGACGTGCTGCACGACCATCTCCATGTACGAGCCGCACGAGGCGACGAAGTGGTACGGGGCGTAACGGTGCCCGAAAGCTCCGCGCACGATGACGTATCCCTGCGGGGACGCGTATGGCTTGAGCCCAGACGCGACGCCCAGCGTGACGATGTCGGGGTACTTCATCTTGTCCATCCACACGCACCGGATATTGGTGTTGATCAGCACCTGCGCGAGCTCGTCTTCCAGCTTGTCCGGCCACGACTTGCCCCTACTCCGGCTCGCAGGTGGGATCTGGACATAGCTCAGAAAGGCCAGCGGCTCGCCTGACTCGATAAGAGCAGGCCCTTTCTGGCCGCGGACGCAGTTGCGCATCTGCTTTTTGAGCTCCCGCGCGAGCTTGCTCTCGCGGTCGAACATGGCAGGCAAAGGAGGACCGGGGAAACCCAGCTACAGCACTTCTGAGGCGATTCAGGACGAGCAGGGCTTGCAAAGGTATAAATACAGCCCGGGCTTGTACGGCCCCAGCATGCTCGCTTTGACAATTCAAAGGGGCCGGGGAACGCAGCGTTGGACGCGGCACGCGGGGCCCGCGTGCGGCGTCAGGCGGACGCTAACGCCGAGCAAACGTAGCCGGGGCGACTCGCCCCCGCGGCGCCCGCTCGCGCGTCCGACGAGGCGGCAACAAGGCCGAACAGCGCACTTGCGACAGAGGTGAGACAGCAGGCGGGTTTTACGGGATAGGTTTCCAAGTTGCGCGGCCAGGGCTGGCTGGCAGGGGGCTGAGCGCGAATGGGAGAGCAGAAAGGGCGGCAGCGATGCATTGTTGGCAAGATGGGCAAGATGGGCACCCGCCATCTGGATGCATCTATAGCTGCAACGATTGCTGGCATTCCCAGTTTGGCCCATTGTAGAATAAAAATTAATGACTCTTTTCCGCTGCTTACCGTCGAATACGTATAAAGAAAACGTTAAACGCAAGCTTGGGGGTCGTATGTCCTATTAACCTCTATAAAACTGATGCTCTGAAGCTCACCCTATTTTAGATGGGAGGAATATCTCGATTGCGTACTGCGCTTCAACAGCTGGCCACTGATTTTAACCGTATCTCTCGATTATCGGTCACAACCCGTACTCCAGCTTCTGCAAGCAGCAATGAGCCTTGAACAGCTGAGTGCAGATTCGGAGGTAATGGGCAGTACAGCACATAAAACGCATGAACAAACACACGAACAAGTAATACATCAATTCATGACACACCCTAAACTGACAACCGTCGTAATCACTAACTAACAAGCCAACCCCGCCGCCGTCACCAAAGACAATCGCCGCCTCTGGCGGGAAATGGCCGCGTACGACTCAGTCGGTACAAGCACTCGTGCCTTCACTTCAAGCATCGCCCAAGGAAAGCTTCAACTCGCACGGCAACGCACCCATTCGTGAAGAGGGCGATTCGTGCAAGCCGGTCTCTTCGTAAAGCGTTAGGCCGAACGCCTCATCCCCATCGTCACCAAGGAATCCAGCGATCTGCACGTACGCAGGGAACCACTGCAGGAACTGGGAACACCGCTGTGGGTTCACTCGGCACCGCGAAGGGCTCATAATCACCGCCACGGCCACGCTACGACGTTCGGGCTCTAGACCGATGAGAGTGGTCATTCAAGAACGTGGCTTTCCGTGAGAGGGGCGAGAAGGTCAGGAAATTTTAGTTACGCCGTCATCTTCACTTCGGTTTCGGATGGGGCCTCGGGCATGCGTGAATAGAGTGCAAGGGAAGCTTGGGCGGTTGGCGGCGGCGGGCACGGCACGGCCGCAAACACTTCTGCAGTGCGATGGGAATTCCCCACGGATGCGTACGACGATGCCGACCAGATGGGGGCGTGAAGTGTGTTTGGCGAAGGCGGAGTCGGCGAAGTGCCTGTGTCTCCCTGACCGGGGCCTGTCCGCACATGAGGACGGTATTGTCCTCATCCGAAGAATCGCAGAATCATCAACCTGAGACGGCGTTTTTTACGTGAAAGCGTCAAGAGAGCGATGATTACGATCAAGCACAGGCCCTACGAGCACATGCTTGCGGACATCCTCACCAAGCCGCTTCGACCACGAAGGTTCATAATCCTGACCGAAGCCATCCGCGCCCGACCAAAGCCAAGCGCCGATCCCGCTGCATCAGAGAAGTGGTATTCCGCGCACCGCGCTCCGTCGCAGTTCTTTAGTCATCACGCAACCAAGAAACGTAGCCGCGTGGCCACGTTGACAAGCTGGAGCAGCGGCGGCGGCGTCCGCCGGGGGGACAGCCCGCAAGTAGTTAAGTGCGTTAGAGGTGCGAGTGAATAAACTGGGTGCAGGGACACTCGCATCACAAATTGAATACGGTGTAGTGACACTACTGTACTGTTGTCACTGACAACAGCGACTACGTAGCACCCAGAATTATCCAAATCGCGTGTTGTAAACTTTATACACCAGCGCGGTGCGGAAATGCCCATTTCCCGTAACCGTGGATAGTGGTTAACCGTCAGCCACGGAAACATCGTACTGTTATGAGCGCATGGGATTGATCCATGATGCGGATAGTTGGCAGTGGAGAGGGATCGCTACTCTACAAACAAAGTTGGAAGGCACAAAGGCCTAAGCATGTATATCGCTCGTGCGTGTATTCTCTTGTCTCTTTCTCTATGCTTCTCCTTTCTGTCTATACTAATAGTAGGGATGCGTTCCTTAGTTGCACTGCTCCACAGCTCGTGGCGACCGACACTGCAAGTGTTGGTTGATGCATTATTGAATTGCATTGACCTTCGTGCTGCCAAAGGTCGTAGAGCACGTTGCAATTGTAAAGAGGGGGAGTACGACCGTTAGCACTGCCGTTTTACATTGCTGTGCGTAAATGTGTGCAGCTGTACGCGATTTGCCACAACTGTACAGTACCCACTGTTCACGTTTTTTTTTTTTCGACAGACGCTGAAACATTGTCCACGGTTACACGGTTCCCCCGTGTTTGAAATACGGTTACAATATGGTTTTCTAAAAAACAATTCCGGCAACCGTGGAAACAGTTAGTTGGCGAAATATAAATTAGAAAACCGTGGATATCACGGTTTTATCAACACGGAACTAAATGGACCATAAAATGCAGATAGATACAGAATACGACAACTTTCCTTCAAAGAAAATTGTTATAAGATCAGCGGATCAAACTGTAAGGAGACCATTCCCGTTCCATGAAAACCGACCCAAAAACCATTGATAGTGACGCATATCCGTCGTCCCATATATCAAAATACATCAAAATACGGTTTCATGGGTAGGGAGGGATTGGAACTTTTTTTCCACAGTTCGGTTCTTCCATCGCGAGTTTAGAATATGCTAACCGCGGTGCCGCACGGTTTGTGTGCCGCTACCGCCGCAGAAAGATATTATGCAGTTGCAAAACTCGAATAGGGACTAGGGCGGAAAAAGGCAGGGTCCATGATGCAATTGGACATTTGCAAAAGTGTAGGCTGGCATTTATGGCTGCGAAAAAGGAGGAAGCCAATGCGACGGCTCGGCAGCTACTAATAACAGAGTCTTTAGTGAAGATGCAAAGTATGAGTGATGGCGTCCTGCAAGCAGTCTTTCTGAGCAGTGATGCAAGGAAGTGGCTGGAAAAAAGCCGTAAATCTCATTATCTTATAGTGCATGGTTCGATATAGTGCCGTTTTCGGCCCACTGCCACAGGGTAGCACTACATCGCGACCCCCCCCCCCCCCCCCCCCCTGTACAGGGGACTTTGGGCCCTGCTTTCGCATCTAGAAAGATGCGCCGTGCACGTAACTATACAATCTTTGCATGTGCGCTCGTTCCACCAAGCGCATTGGAACTCGCTCTGGGGGGAAGGTCTTCGTAAGCGGGAGGGAGGAGGAAGACCTTGGAACTTCGCAGCGCGCCGTGCTGGATCCGCCAGGGTCTGCTCCGTGGGGTAGATGCGCCGGTTTCGAACGACGGTGGACTGCACTGTGGCGGGTAAGTAACACTGTCCTTTGCATAGGCGGTGGCGTCAGTTGCGTTTTCGCAGATCCTCCTTCCATTGCGCATCTGCGCGTTCCATCTTTGTACTTGTAGACCGCAAACTACAAGTGTACTACGCACCTGCAGTCTGTACAGTATAAAGTGCAGTATAAGGTTGGGATAGTGGGACGCGAGCATTCTCTACTATGTCAAGCTTATGTACTGGTCGCCTCTATCGAAAACCATGTTGTTTCTCCAAGTTCCTTGTGTGACATTAAAGGATCGTCTTCTCATTGGGATCTTGGCAGTCTTTTCCCAAAGACAGAGCGCAAAGAAATGCACTCGTGCAGACTCACTTCCGCGTGTATATACAGAAGAAATATGCTTCCCATGTGACCGCAAAGAACCGCGATAATACGCCGATTCAACCTCATCTTATCGCGCTAACATTGTTGACGTGACTCTATACTGCTTCTTTAATCAAATATCAACGTTACCAGCCTCTCTCATGTCCCCGTTTCCTCGTAATGGTGGATCATAAAAACCATCAAACCCTTGATCCAACATGTCAAGTTCCGTATCTTCCACTTCAACCACACGCGCTCTCCTCTGTCGCCGTTGCGACGGTCTATCAGTTGCTGCAAGAATCCGTGATACAAGCGCCGAAAATCGCTGCATCGGAGCTGCAGAATCAACTTGATTTTGGGAACGCACACTTTCCTTCCTTCTCCGCCTAGAAGGCATGTCTTCGGCCCTCGTTGATTGACGGAAGCGTCGGTTGTTTCTAGGATCTTCTTCGAAAGTTGCTTCCAACTGTGCTTCATCTGGTTGGAGATCAGGACGGTACCGACTAATAATCTCCTCCTCCGGAACTCGCCCGGCGGCATACGAAGCATAAGAAACATATGAATCTCTTTCGGGAAAGTCCTGGGTGGGATCGAAGCTCTCGTCTGAGAATCTGTCTTCCCCAGCCATTCCACCTGTCAACGGCGCATAGTCTGGCAGCTGGATACCTTCTGGAGGCGGCAACCCATCCACATCCTCACCAGACGCAGTTGAGTAGAGTGCAAGATCTTCCAGTACGTTCCCTTCATCACCATACTCGCGGTGGGCTTCGCGTTCTTGTTCCAAGACCTCTTGCTCCCAGTTGGTTGTATCGTACAGCGCCGGTGCAACCTTTTCGACAGAAGATTCTCGACGACTAGCCTCGCTGAGTTCGACATCCGGTAGCAACTCATTGTCGCGAATCTTCACTGGGGACTGTGCGAGCTGATGTGCAAGCGACTCCACCGATCCAATTGGCAAACTCCCGGCATTTCGCACGGCAGCCCTTGCCCTCACATCCGGAGGGTTACCAAGCCGTTGTTGAGACAGGCGGTCAATTCCCACATCAGTGCTACCGCCCTCACTAGAATCTCCGGAACGCTCGCTCTCCCCTGGCATGTCCTGCTCATATGGCACGCCCTGCGCGTATCCATCCACCACATCCCCTCCTCCACCCCCTTGCACCGAAGCACTTCCTTCGCTCCACTCGCTCTGCACTCCCCCTTCAACCTTTGCATACTCTGACACTCTCTTCCCCTCCCGCTCCTCCTTCCTCCTCCGCCACGCTCTCTTCTGCGCGTCCCTCCTCTCAGTCGCCATCCAGACGATATCCTCCCCCCAATACTCGATCAAGTCATACTGCCTCTTTCGAAAGCGGAACTCAATATCGCTCAGCTCTACCTTCTTCGCATTGTTGATCCCATCCGCGACCATAGCCTTTGCGACGTCGCGCACGTGTACGGCCTGTGCGGGCCCCCTTTCAAACTTGAGCACGGCGTGCTGCTTCACGCGATTGATGAGCGGCGCGGAAGCCTCGTCCCCGTGCAGCGACATCTTATTCGTGAGGAGAAGCGGGACGCGAAAGAGAGCGACGGCGGGGGCGGCCTTCCCCATCTCGCACTGCATGCGCACGATGGCATCCACGAGTTCGCCCTTGACCCTGAGAAACTCGCTCCCGCGCACGTGCGAGTGCGCGCCGTCAGCCGACAGGACCTCGATGCGAGGGACGCGGTCGAAGATGGCGCGCAGGAAGCGGCGCGGGACGTCGAAGTTGTCGGCGTGGAACAGGAGCGGGCCCTGCGCGGCGAGGTCGTCGCGCGACGAGCCGAGCGTGACGAAGGCGACGTCGGCGCGCGGCACATGCTCGAAGACGGTGCGGTCGGCGTAGTACAGGTCGTCGATGTGCAGGTGGAGCACCGGGGTGCGCGCGAGGGGGCGCGACGACGGCGAGATAGAGGACCGCGGGTCGACGGGGGCCAGGGCGTGGATGTGCGCGACGGATGGGCTCCGCAGAAGATCCCGTAGGACCAGCGCGCCCAGCGTCGTGTGCGCGCCGCAGATGACGGCGGTCAGCGAGGGCGGCGGCGGCGCCGCGCTCACGGATGAGGGGGCCGGGGTTGCGGTGGAGTCGGTGGCGAGGAGGGGCGAAGGCATGGTATGGTAGCGGGGGAAGGGAAGGGCATGGGGAAGGGGGAGGGGTGAAGGGAAGAACGGGGTGTGGGGCCTGGCAAGGTTGCCGTTTCGCGGGTGCGACAAGTCATGCAGGGAGAAGAGGACTTCTCCTTGCAACCGGTGAACGGATGAAGCGCAAGCTTCAGAGGGTTGAAGCTGCCGTGACAATGTTTACGCTTTGATTGGTTACCCTTGGTAGCTGGAGCGACGCACAGCAAGGTCGAAAGGCCTCTATTTACAGTGAGTTTCCGCATTACACGTTGCCACGCATCACAACACGTCTCACACGTTTCCATGCTCATTACAGCCTTGACGGAAGGAGGATGACTGTAAGTGTTAGGGCGAAAAGTTACTTTTTGAATAACTTCTAGAGGGGCTACGATATCTCGAAGCGAGCTGCGTAAGCGCGGGGGGCAGATCGGTGGAGATCTTTTACGTCGCGGCCGGAACTTGTGGTTGTGACGGTATGGGGTTGAAGAGGAGATCATCCTCCTTCCCCCTCCTCACTGAGCCGCCTGCTGTCATACCGTCCCCGGTCTGCACCTCTTGTTCCCCCTTGTTCCCCCCTTCTCCCCGCACCCCCCCATCCTTCTATCCCCCCTCCAATCGCAACCGCACCTTCCCCCCGTCACCGCCGCTCCGTCAAACTCTCCTCCCCCGCCATGACTTTCGCCTTTGTCGCTCCCACCCCGGTCGCCGCCGCCGCCTCCTTCCGGGGGCGCGCCCTCGCCGCCCCCGCGCACAGCCCCGCTGTTGGTACGTCCCCGCCCGCTCCGATCGGCCCCTGTTCCCTTGTTGGCGCGTTGCCACCCCGCGCGCGCCACTCCTCGCAGCCCGCTTTCCGCGCCCGAAAAAAAATTCCAAGTCTAACCCACACCCCCGCGTCTCTCGCTTCCTTCCTCCCCACCCGCACAGTGCGCGCCTCCTTGGCGGACAGGCTCGTGAAGCGCGCGCGCCAGGACGCGGACAAGGCCGCCGCGCTGCTGCGCAGCGCGCCGGTGCAGGGCGCCGCGCTGGGGCTTCTGGCGGCCGCCGCGCTGGTCGCGCCGAACGCGGCGGGCGCGCTGACCAAGAGCGACATCGACCAGCTCACCTACATGCAGGTCAAGGGGACGGGCTTGGCGAACCGCTGCCCGGAGGTCGAGGGCGCCAAGGGCGCTATCAAGCTCGACTCGGGTAAGTCGTACAAGATCGTCGACCTTTGCTTGGAGCCCAAGACGTTCCAGGTTGAGGAGGAAGTCTCCGGCAAGCGTAAAGGAGAGGTTAAGAAGGCCTTTGTTGATACTAAGCTGATGACTAGGGCGACGTATACGCTTACTGGGATTGAAGGGCCGTTGAAGGTCGGCAATAATGAGGTTGTGTTTGAGGAGAAGGATGGTATTGACTACGCTGCTACGACTGTGCAGCTGCCCGGTGGGGAGCGTGTCCCGTTTTTGTTCACGGTTAAGAATTTGATCGCAAAGGCCGATGGCACAGACATCACGACCGCCACAGAGTTTGGCGGTGACTTCAAGGTCCCGTCGTACCGCTCGGGGCTCTTTCTGGACCCTAAGGGCCGCGGTGGTACCACTGGGTATGACATGGCAGTAGGCTTGCCAGGCATGGAGGCCGACGGTGGCGAGGGCCAGGACGAGATCTTCAAGGAGACTAACAAGGTGTTCCAGGTTACCGACGGCGCGATCGAGATGGCCGTCCAGAAGATCGACGCCGCTAACGGCGAAATGGCAGGCGTGTTCGTGTCGGAGCAGCTGTCCGATACGGATATGGGAGCAAAGACGCCAAAGAAGGTGTTGCTTAAAGGCGTGTTCTACGGGCGTGTCGAGGAGTCTTGAGGTCGGCTGCTTTGTCGTGCTTATTTAGTGCTAGTCGTTGTGCATGCGCATTGGGGTTGAGTGGGGTTCGGGCGTTCGATTCGCTTTGTTATGCGTAGACGCGGCGTGGGTCACCGGTAAAAGTCATTTCATCTGAACATCTCGATGCACTTATCTAAGAATCAAAGTAGTCTGACAGTCTTCAACCTCAGTGTTCAGTTCTCTACGCACGTTATTAGGGCCCGTTCAGGTGGCTATGTCTCCATAAATGACTTCTTCTGAGCTGGTGCAAACGCATATTTGTGAACCAAGTGCCAGAGAAATAAATGGCTGCGGTCTATTTTCGTCAAAAGGCAAGCAAGCAATGTTCCGCGCTGGAGAAAACACACTCAAAGACATTGAAGAAAAACGTATTAATTGCAGTTTAATGCCTAGAAGCGAAAACGACTCAAGCAAAAAAGCATCTAACGGTAGAGGCCGTTGTTAAACTTGTCCAGCTCATACTCGGGGGTAGGTTCCAAAGCGGTGAGGTTATCCTTGTACTTCTCGAGCGTCGTCTTCATCTGCGGGGTAAGATCTGGCAAGGCGAAGAGCTCATCGACTGACTTGTACGGGCCATTCGCGACGATCAGGCCCGCGAGGGTCGGGTAGAACCCTTGGAACTTGACGTACGCGCGGACGTTGGCGTTGTTGACGTCGATGACGTCGCTGCCGCCCAAGAAGCCGACGTTTGGATACTCACGCTCGGCGTTCGCGACCTTCGGCAGCGCGGCCGCGGCCGCGGCAGCCACCACGCCCGCGATGATGGCGCGGCGCGACACGGGCTCCTCCGCGGCGTCGGCCGCCATGCGGACGGTGCAGGTCGACGTGGCGCGCGCGGCGCGCAGGGAGGGAAGGGCTGGTCCGGTGACGAAAGCCATCGTTGCGTACGGGGAGGCTCGGTTGTGCAGGCGAGGGGGAGCGGAAACAGGGGTGAGGAAGTTGGGGTTTGTGAGAGCCGGAGAAGAGTAAAAGAACGAAGGTCAAAGGCGAGTGTATGATGTCAGACTCAGCTGCGCCCTGACGGAGATCTGAATCTCGTCCCCGTGAGCTCGGAGCTGTCGATTGGTCAGTTGTTTCAACCCTTGTGTCGCTGCATACGAACCACTCATCCCACTCATCCAAACTTCAGATCAAACTCTCCAATTGGATCATACTGTAATGAAAATGCTGTAAGTACCATCGACTGTAATCACGTGATGTCCCTTACAGTTTCCACGGCTTTCCTAGCTAGACAAGTCGCCCTCCCAAGGATTAACAACCTGAGTCCTTTTGAAGAGGAGCAAAAAGCCAACGAGACGAAGCTCGCGTGCAACTCTTCTAACCGAAAAACACTCCGCGTCCGCAGCCATGGTATTCTACTACAAGACCTGTGACGATTCGTACCTTGTGTACGTCGGTAAAGATAAGCACGAAAACGAGCAGCTCATCGCGCACGGCTGGGAAAACGACGTCTGGTTCCATGTCGACAAGCTCTCCTCAGCCCATGTCTACCTCCGTCTCAAGGACGGGGAGACCATCGACTCCATCCCAGAGAGCGTTCTGGAGGACTGCGTACAGCTCGTCAAGCACAACTCCATTGAGGGGAACAAGATGAGCAACGTCGGTATCGTCTACACCTACTGGTCAAACTTGAAAAAGACAGGCGATATGGCCGTGGGCCAGGTCAGCTTTCATAACGTCAAGGCCGTCAAGAGATGCAAGGTTGACAAAAGAGTTAATGAGATTGTCAATAGACTCAATAGAACTAAGACCGAGGCTTTTCCTGACTTGGCCGCCCAGAAAACAGCCAGGATCAAGGAGCTCAATCGAAGGGCTAGGGAAGCTCTCAAGCACCAAAAGGAGGCTGAAAAGGCCTTGAGGGAACAGAGAATGAAGGAAAAGGAGGCACTCTCGTATGATAACATTCATAAAGAAGAGAAAATGTCAAGTAACAAGGAATTCTTTGGCAATCACACCGAATTCGAGGATGATTTCATGTGATCACATCCAATGGCAACCACCAAAACTTTGCATATACATCTCGATACTGAACACGAATCGCATCGGCCTGGCATATCGCCTTATCACGACTTTATCAACACATGCTGCTGTAGTATTCCCGAGTTCTACCTTCGTTCGCCAGCGCGCGACCGCCAATGTACATCGCCTCTCAGTCTAATCTTGCACAGAATCGCCGAGAAACCCAATGTCGTCTGTCCCGTTGCTCAACTGGAACGTGCAGTTTTCAAAAACGTTTGACGCAAAATATTAAGGATTCGGATTCGGTCCAGGTCATGATTAGTCTAGCAGTTACCTTAAAAATGAATTGGCTTGCCATGGGTCGCCATCGCTGCTTCCCGGGTAGCCTCTGACAAAGTCGGGTGCGCGTGACATGTGCGCGCGATGTCCTCCGTGCTAGCTCCATACTCAATCGCGAGCACGCCCTCTGCGATGAGCTCACCAGCGTTTGGTCCGACAATGTGCATACCGAGTAGCTTGTCCGTCTTCTTATCGGCCAGCACCTTGACCATGCCCTGGGCAAAGTCACCGCCAACGTCATTCGTCCGCGCACGCGAGTTGGCCATGAAGGGAAACGTTCCCTTCGAATACTCCACGCCGTCCTCCTTCAGCTCCTCTTCTGTCTTCCCAACGGTGGCCACCTCTGGGTGCGTGTAAATGACGCCGGGGACGCAGTTGTAATCGAGATGCCCAGTGCCGACGCCCGCGATAATTTCGGCGCAGATGAGGCCTTCATCCTCGGCCTTGTGCGCAAGCATAGGTCCCTTGATGACGTCGCCAATGGCATATACGTTGGGGACACTTGTGCGGAAGCTGTCGTCAACATCAATGCGGCCCATTTTGTCCATCTTCACGCCAGCCTCCTCCAAACCGAGCCCATGTGTGAACGGGCGACGGCCCGTGGCGACGAGCACGACGTCAGCTTCCAGGGTGTCCGCCTTTCCACCCTTAGAGGCTTCGATATCCAATAAAACTTTGCCGCCCTCCTTGCGCGACGCGACGACCTTGGTGCCAAGCTTGAATTTCATTTTCTGCTTCTTCAGGATGCGGAAAAAGCTATCGGCGATCTCCTTGTCAACACCGGGAACGATGCGATCGAGAAATTCGACGACGGTAACCTGTGATCCGAGCCTCCGCCACACAGACCCCATCTCCAATCCGATGACGCCGCCACCAATGACAATCATCTTCTCCGGCACCTTGTCTAGCTTGAGGGCGCCGGTGGACGAAACGATGACTTCTTCATCAACCGGGACGGGGGGCAACTTTGCGACTTCGGAGCCTGTCGCAATCATAATGTTTTTGGCCTGGATCTTATCCTGACCGCCGTCTATCAACTCGACGGCGACCTCGCCAGGCCCTCCCAATTTGCCCGCTCCCCTGACATAGGTGACCTTATTCTTCTTAAAAAGGCCCTCAATGCCCTTTGTCAAGCCGTTGACGCTGTCCATCTTGTGCTTCATCATCGCTGGGAGGTTGATGTCAACGCCGCCATTGATGTCGATACCGTGCTTTCCAAAGCTATTCTTTGCCTCCTCGAACAGATGCGACGAGTGCAGAAGGGCCTTGCTAGGAATGCATCCAACGTTAAGGCAGGTGCCCCCGAGCGCGCCGCGCTTCTCGACGCAGGTGACCTTGAGGCCGAGTTGCGCGGCCTTGATCGCGGCGGCGTATCCCCCCGGGCCACCGCCGATAATGACGAGGTCTTGCGGGGCGGCAGAGGCGAAGGATCTACGCAGAAGGGCGCGCATATCGCCGGATCGAGCGCGGAAGAGGAGCGCCATGGTGGGGGGGGGGGGGGGGGGGGGCGTTTGGATGGCGGAAGAAGTGGGACGTGAAGTGGAGGAACGGGTGTGTATATGCAGGAAGTTGATGGAAGGAATGGGAAGGGATTATCCCTTTTTTGACGATTTTTCGTGGTCAGATGACTGGGTTGTTTGTACACGTCTGTACACGTCACAACGTGTGAGGACAGAAGTGGTAGATATGGGCACTGGCGCATCTGCTGGCGGTGCTCGTCTGGACAGAAACTATAAAGCCTTCAGCCGTTCTTTCCACTTTGCTTATGCCTCGTCTCATCCTTTCCCGTCTTATAAATCACTTTTTGCTAATTCTCACCCGTTGATTCACAGTAGGCCAGAGTTATGAGCAGGAGAATTCGCCGCAGGCGCAGATGCGCTGATGTCTTTGCCCAAGTCGAGGCCAGACGCAGTCACGCACCAAGGCGGGGGTGCCACTCTCTCTCTTGACCCTAGGGCGGGCTAAAATGCCATGACGGTCGAGCTGAATGAGAAAATTTCCGCAATATATTGCTAGCCTGGAACAGATATCAATATGATGACGAGGTCACAGAGATTTTCGCTGGGTATCGCCAGCTCTCGATTGAGTGAAAGCGGGTACGGAAGAACAACGCCCCAATCCACGTACTTCACCGATCCACGTTCTTCGATAGCGGGAGATCAAATTTGTCTACGTCCCTGCAACGATGGAAGGCCATTGATTCAGGATGGAGACGCATCCTCTTTCTGTGATCCCATGACAGTCCTACATGTCCCCTGAGACAAGAATCAGAGATCCGTTCATCATGAGCGAAATTCATAAATTATCGCTCCAGTAGTGACAACTGATTCCATCACGAAACTCGGCTTCGCTTTGCTAACAAATAGGAAGAGGCGCAGATCACACTATAAACTTTGATGATACAGTGGCCCATCTTTAAAGAAGACGCACGATGGCACGGTGGAAGGGTCAACGTCACGCTTCCCATTATATCATCGTGCTCTCTCTTTTAAGAGAAATTCTAGGGCATCCATAGTAGACTTTACTTCACTGTAATATGAAAGTCGCCTCCAAATTACATCTGCACTGTAGGTCGGGAGGCCCAGCTCACTCCCTCCTTACTCGGCAACGCGAAACATTCCCTTCTATTGCCCGGTACCTGTGCTCTTCTCATTCTCCTCATCCTTCTACCCTTCCCCCACTCTTCTTTCTCTTAGCTTTTTTAGCTGTTTCACCCCTTCTCGTTCCTTTCCTTCTTACCATATTACTATGACGTGCAATCCTTTTCCCTCTAACCCCACTTCCCTCTCTTCAATTCTTTCCTGTTCATATGAAAGCTTCCCCTTTTCTCTTTCCACTCCTATCTATCTGCCAGTCTTTCCTCCAAGTTCATTTTTCGTTGCACCCTTTCCCCTCATTTTCTCCACAATAACCTACTTTATCACCCTCTCTTGCGTTGCCAGCATTGAGAGATGAACTTGATTTTGTACGGCATAGGCCGACCTTACCTTCCGAGGTCAATTTTGAAAGATTCTTCGATAGGCTCGTCCCGCAGATTCTTTCTGGATTTGGGAATCTAGCGTAAACTCTTACGAAAGTTGATTGTGCCATCTGCAGTGTTCAACCTGCCCTGGACTGCTGCAATCAGAAACATGCTTGAATATATTGACCCAGTTAACAGCTTGTATTGACAAGAAGTGCAACTAGCTTCGCTCTCAGCCGAATAGATAGAATCTTACACCAGCGAAATGAAACGAAACAGAACCTGATTCGTCTTCAGTTACCAGGAATGGCTGGTAGAATACATGCGAACACTATATTAGAAACCTGAGGCAGTTCGAAGCCGGTGGATTTGATTTTAATACGCCGCCTCGAGTCGTAGTGTACGTTCTCAGACGAGGAGTGATAAAGCTATGGTTCTGTGCTGTTCAAGGCAGCTCAGTTCTTTATTTTGGAGATAAGTTTCTGCTTATATACTGTTTGGGTTGTGTGAAGCTCTAGTATGGAGCAACAGAGTAGAGATAGAATTGCTATGATCAGTCAACTGTGTTCCACTATTCCGACGGTTCGATGTATAACCATTTGCCAGGATGAGCAATATCATCTTGTTGCCAACTCCTTGAAGCTAGTCACATTCTCCTTCCTCCGCTCCCATTTGTACTGAGTACATTGCTATGTCCAAGTATTGCGCCACGCTGTGTTACGTGGCTGGCTATTGTGCTGTTAAAGCATTTCATATCGACTCAAGCATGAGTGCAGCATGCAAAAATTGCATGTGCACCTGGAAGCGTTCTGCTTCCGAACTCCTCAAAACTTACGCGGCAGCTTCTTAGGCACTCTACAATGCACCGCCTCGTAAGACAGCCCAGTCATACCGCACCTACTATAGTTTTCCAGATTACCAAGTCTCTCTTTCCCTACTTAAGATCCTCCCGACGATAAACATCGAAGAGAGCTATCTCATATCTGCATTTACTACAACGTGCAATATCAAGTGAGTATTGTTGTCCTGTATACTTACAAGAGCATTATTGCCCGCAACAGCACGGGGAGTACGGTACTGGCAAATGCCAATTCCCGAAAGCGACCGCGATAAAACCGCATTTTCGTGTCACTCAGGTTTGTACGGATTCTCAAGAATGCCCTTCGTGCTTACCAACGCGCCAGCGACGTCTCAGAGAGCCATGGATATCCTGCTCTCTCCGTTCCGTTAGAAATGCTGTCTTGTATATCTAGATGATATCATCATCTTCAGCAAATCCTGGGAGGAGCACGTCGTCCACGTTAACGAAATACTGTCTGTATTGTAGAAGGCAGGTGTGAAGCTCAAGCTTTGCAAGTGCGAATTTTTCGTCGAAAAGATCAAGTACCTGGGCCATGTCGTTCGGCCAGGTACATTGGAGGTTGATGTCGCGCGAACCGCCGCGTTGGAACAAGTGAGGTACCCTCAAACGTAGACACAGCTCAGAAGCTGCCTGGGACTTCGCAATGTCTACCGCAGGTTCGTTCCGCATTATGCGAAAATTGCACATCCTCTAAACCAACTATTGAAGAAGGGACAACCGATCCAGTTGAAAGGATTCGACGAACAGTGCGAAAAAGCTTTTCATAAGCTCAAGGACGCCATCTTGGCAACACTGCTGTTGGCGCTGCCGAAGAAGGACCTACCATACTCGGTAGACACCGATGCAAGCGACTATCAAATCGGCGCTGCATTATTTCAAACGCATCCGGATGCGCAACGTAAACTCATCGGGTTCTTTTCAAGAACGTTAGCTGCAGCCGAGAGAAACTATTTTGTATCAGAAAAAGAATATCTAGCGGTAATTTGGGCCGTACAGACTTTAAGACCATATCTATATGGCGAGCACTTCATTGTGCATATCCACTATGCCTCATTGAGGTTGTTGATGAACGTAACCGACCCCAGCGAGAGATTAATCCGATGGAGGCTCCGCCTCTCTGAATTTGACTTTGAAATTACAGACAAGAAAGGAAAGACAAACAGCCAAGCTGACGCCTTGTCAACGCTGATAACCGATGGAGACACAGTGGACGAAATCGACGACGACATTCCATGCTTCATGGTCGAACCGGACGACGCTACAGAAGACGACGAAGAAGATTTTGAACGGCTTGACAACATCCTCGCTCTCGAGGAGGGCCCCGCCTCTGATCGCCTCCATCAATTCCAAGCCATCGCTCCGGAGGAGCTTCTTCGCGAGAAAGCCGTCGACCCCTTCTGCAGCCGAATCAAAGAAGAAATGGACGCCGGAAAACGCGCACGTTCACAACGGAGGCCGAGGAACTCGAAGGAACTCTATGCCGTACAGCGGCAGAGTTCGTACAAGTGGTAATACCACAATCATTAAGGGACGGGGTCCTTTGGTTAAGCCATTACGCAAAATTGGCGGGACACCCGGGAGGTAGGAAACTGTACAAGACATTAACAAGACAATTTTATTGGTCTTCAATGGCCCTAGACTGCTACACAGTTTCGAAGAATTGCGCCGCATGCGCGCGGGAAAGGTTGAAGTTGAGAAGAAACACGAAGCAAATGAAGCTATTTACACCAGAAGCTCCGCTGGAGTTTGTAGCCATCGACATCCTCGGTGAGCCAATTACAACTAAACGAGAAAATCGGTACATCCTGGTGATCAGCGATCGATATTCAAAACTTGTACGGACCGTACCGTTGAAGAAAATATCAGCTGCAAGCATCGCGCAGGACTTCATTTACCATTGGGTATTCGTGTACGGACCGCCGGTCAAGCTACTGTCCGACAATGGGACACAGTTTACAGCGCGGTTCTTTCAGAACGTATGCCGAATTCTCTGTACACGCAATGTTTTCACGACTACGTACCACCCGCAAGCCAATGGCCAAGTCGAAATATTTAATCGCACGCTCACTTCCGCACTGCGGAAATACGTCGGAGAACATCTGAAGGATTGGTACCTGTTTGGCGACGCGGTAACGTTTGCATACAACACTCAGGTTCACCGAACCACAAACATTTCCCCGTTCGAATTAGTATTACCTCTGGCACCGAGAAGTATCGCGCTCCAAACACAGCCGAAATTGGAACATTTCAGCTCGTCTCGAGCCTACCACTTGAAGTGGCAGTCGTGGTTGGAAAGTTTAATGAGAACCACCGACAAGAGTCTACGAAAAGAACAAGCTCGGTACAAGCTAAATTTCGATGCAAGACTTCGCAAGCCCAAGTATGACATCCCCGCAGGGTCGTACGTTTTCCTCCGAAAGGAGCAAGGCACGGCGAGCGAACCGAAACACAAGCTTGCAAAAGTTGCCACAGGACCTTATCAGGTTAAAAGGTCGGACCAACATACGGTTGTCATCGCCATTGGAGATCAAGAGGAACGCGTTTCAAGCGATCGAGTAGAACTTGCCCCAAGTCCAATGGACCATGTGCCGATAACGGGTCTACGACAGGCGCTACAGTTTCAGGATGGGGCTGAAAACAACGAAGAACATAACGTTGTC